TCTTACTTGCGGACCACCATGACTCAAGATAGGCTAAATGGATTAGCGATATTATGCATTGAAAAGGATATGTTAGAGAACATTAAATATGATAGTATAATTGATTACTTTGCATCTAAAAGTGCAACAAGAAGACATTTTAAATGATGTTTTGTAGTTGAGATTTCATTGCTATTTTTATTTTGTAGGTACATGTGATGATTCTTTGCTTCGATTAATTGTGGAGGATGAAAAGAAGATTGATCAAATCAAGAAATGCTTATGGAGATTTGGGAGGAAGCATGTAGACTCAAATATGTAGTTTTCGTTTTTTAATGCAATGTTTACAATCCGGGGGTACTCTTTTTCCTTCTTTTAATGCAATGAAACCTTCTTTTAATGCAATGAAAAGAATATTGTCTTTTGTAAAATCTTATAATTTTAATAAAATTAATTAATTGATAATTTATTTATTTATTTGTTTAATTTGTATAAAGAGGCACACTTGAGAAAATTTGCCCTGGGCCTTAGAAAACCCAGGACCGGCTCTGGCTGCGACCAACGTGAGTACAAGTTATAGGTTGCTCCAACCCTCAGTAAGGTTCTACTTCTTCTTTTCCTCTGCATTTACTTCACTTCACCTTGCCCACTACAAACTCCACTTGTTGCCAGCATGACTTTAGCCAGCTGCTGCTGCTACTCCACATAGTGATTACCATTACTACCTTTCTCCAAGGCTTAACCTGACCCCAATTATGTCTGGTTGGGCTAAGCCTATGGAGTTCCCTACAAACTAATTTTTATGCATGGAGAAATGACATTCATGAAAGATATGTTTACATACGCATGGATCATATTCACTTGTTTACCTTATTCACATGTCCATAAATGTCGTATCTGAATTATCAAAAATCCTTGCACATGTTTGGCATTGGAACAGAATGACAAAATTCCTTATATAGAATCATAGATGTAAACTAGTTTCCAAGTGAAAATAATAGACATGTTTCACTTGTTGAGCATAACCTCACCCTAAATTGCATGTGTTCTTACATAGGAACAAAGTTGAGCTCTCTCACAAGATAGAACACAGGTTCTGTTCATAACTGTAAATGGTACTTGATAACCTGGTCTGCATGGCTATCTTAGCTCTAGATTCAAATATTGAAAAAGAAGTGTGAATATTTTTCTTGTCAGGTTTGGATTCTAAATGGAATCCAATTAAGTTTTGTGTCGAGTGCTGGTTCATGAATTTTGAACCCAACAAAAGATGAAAATAGATTTCAGAGGGACATCAATAATGTTACTTATAATTTCTCTTAAACTTCAAAATTAATATCATTCATATGCTAACACTAATTAATGAGTAACTACAACATTGGCGAATATTGCTACCAGCCAATGATTAACAAAACTAAAAATCCTTTTGTTCTCTTCCCATGTTAAAAAATAAGTCATATCTATCCAGGAAACCAGAAAGCCTTTTTACATCGATTCTGAAGATTTTATTACTTAATTTGTGGAATTTGGTACTTGGGTAATAAACTTAGCCAAGCCACCAATCTGTGAAAACAAAATTAGCCACCCACATAACTATCAATTCGAACAATATAACTGACAACATTGTTCTAATTGTTCCAACTATCCATTCACACACCTAAGACTGAGGCTAATAGGGTTTGGATTATGATAAGGGTGGAGAGCAGTTTGAATGTTTTGAACTTTCCAAATAGAAAGTTATTTGGTTACTTTCGAAATTCGAAAACGAATAGAGAATGGCTTTCTGATTCAATGGCTTTTGTAAGTTTTCCATGTAGAATTTTAAGTTTTTTCTTTATTTCCCCTCGAGAGGAGAGGAAAATGCTTGTCAGTTTATCTGCTATTAGCAACGGTTGCGATAATTAAAATGGATTGCTGATACAAGTGTGTGTGTGTGTGTGTGACTCTAGTGATTTCCTTCTGAAATTTGAAGGATACTTGTGGAGTAATAACCCTAGTGATTTCCTTCTGAAATTTGAAACCCTGTCATTTAATGCATCTTCCTATACATTTAAGTTGAACTAGGATTGCCGGTTCCCAAATATATTTGATCCAAATCTTACTCAAATATATAATCAGCCTTCAGTAGTGAAACTAGACTCAAACATTCCAAGAAGGTTAAGCTATTGACTCATATTGAATTATCAGGTAACTATGGCCTTAGATTGGCAGCATGACGTTGAGGGGAAACTGAAGAAAAGTTGCAAATTAAGACGAAACGTTTATTAATCACCAAACATGATGACTATAAGCAACATGTTACCAATGAACATGAAATTTACTTATCTGTTTGAAAACTTCCCGGAAGGGCACCCCGTTCGACACACGTCGGACAAGCGGTCAACGCCCCCGACACGGCTGGGATTCGCGAACAAAAAAGAAAAAGCCAAAACTCAAAACCAAACCCAAACCCTAATTTCTTCACTTACCAGGGTACCGACATCGCCACAATCCCTTTGTCTCTCTGTCTTGAGATAGGCTCGTCCTCGTCGGCTCGTCGCTGCTAGGTCAGTCTCTCTCTCCCGATCTCTTCGTCTCTCTCTCGACCGATCTCTTCGTCTCTCCCTCTCTCTGGATCTCTTCGTCTCTCTCTCTCTCTCTCTCTGATTCTCTTTCTTTCTCTGAATATACATATGAAGATTTTACTGTTTTTACGTGAATTTACTGTTAATTAAATTAGGGTTTCATTTAATTAAATTAGGGCCTCTACGACTGATCTCTTCGTCCCTCTGATCTTGTTTATGTTCACACCAACCTTCGCTTACTTTTGCGAAGTTCGGAAGAGTATATGGAAGGGGAACCAAGAATGTGGGATATTAGTAGAGATGCCTTCAACTCATTTCAAGGTGCCAGCATTTTAGATGTTGCTGTCCTTTCTCTTGACGAGCCCACGATGGGGCCGTTATGTTTGAGGAGGATGAAGGAGTTGAAGCCATAGAACGATCTTTTTGATGTTTCAACTTAAAAACTTTATTTTAAGATACGCTTTTGGTTGTAATTTTTATATTTTTACAATGTTAGTAACTTAATATTTTGTAGTCATGGAATTAGTTGCAACTTTATCTTTATTCTCTTGTAATTTTCATATGTTTGTAATGTTAGACTTGTTAGTAGCTTAGTATTTTGTGTTTGAGGATTACATTTTAGTTTGTTGTTTGAATTTTATAAATTTATCTAAATATAATAATAATATTTTAAAAAATCTAGTTGTCGCCGTGTCCTATTTTTTGGGTTTTGTCGTGTCCGTGTCCATGTCGCCGTGTCCATTTAATTAAATTAGGGCCTCTACGACCGATCTCTTCGTCCCTCTGATCTTGTTTATGTTCACACCAACCTTCGCTTACTTTTGCGAAGTTCGGAAGAGTATATGGAAGGGAAATCAAGAATGTGGGATATTAGTAGAGATGCCTTCAACTCATTTCAAGGTGCCGGCATTTTAGATGTTGCTGTCATTTCTCTTGACGAGCCCACGATGGAGGCCGTTATGTTTGAGGAGGATGAAGGAGTTAAAGCCATAGAATGATCTTTTTGATGTTTCAACTTAAAAACTTTATTTTAAGATACACTTTTGGTTGTAATTTTTATATTTTTACAATGGTAGTAACTTAATATTTTGTAGTCATGGAACTAGTTGCAACTTTATCTTTATTCTCTTGTAATTTTCATATGTTTGTAATGTTAGACTTGTTAGTAGCTTAGTATTTTGTGTTTGAGGATTACATTTTAGTTTGTTGTTTGAATTTTATAAATTTATCTAAATATAATAATAATATTTTTGTTTGAGGATTACATTTTAGTTTGTTGTTTGAATTTTATAAATTTATCTAAATATAATAATAATATTTTTAAAAATCTAGTTGTCGCCGTGTCCTATTTTTTGGGTTTTGTCGTGTCCGTGTCCGTGTCGCCGTGTCCATGTCCGTGCTTCATAGACTACCATTAGTGGTTGAACCTACTTAATTTATGGTGTTTCTACTTTCTATCATAGTTTTTAGCTATGATAATTCTTGAATCCATGGAAACTGTTGTACACCAAACACCTTGATCCTATTAATACCAATCTCAAGTAACATGCTCTCCATTTTAGATAGGATATCACAATGGCCTTTTCAAGGTTGTATGAGAACAAAAATAAAGATTGCTTATTGATGTTAGGTTTCTGTATCGTTCCCTTTGTATAATTTTTACCTTAATTTTCTTTCTAAATCACTTCTCCAAAATCTGATAAATTTTCCGCAGGCCCATAATATCTAGTTTAAATTTTGAGGAAATCAGCAACCAGTAAGTGATCCTTCAAATAAAAAATCCCTCAATTTTTAAAATCAACAGGCTGATGACCAAGTATCCATGCATTAGATTTAGACAGCTTTCAATGATTTAAAATCTTAACAAAAACAATTTTGTTTCCTAAACATAGAATAATATTTATTCAGTCGAGCTTCCAAATTTTTTAGAGTGAGCCTTGGCGCAACAGTAAAGTTGTCCCAGTGTGACCTAAATGTTGAAGGTTCGAGTATCGGAAACAACCTCTTCGCAGTGGGATAAGGCTACATACACTAACCCTCCCCTGACCTCACTATGGTAGAAGCCTCGTGCATCGGGACGTCCTTTTCTTTAGCACTGTTTGCTAATGTTCAGCATAACATCCAGTAAGGCATAAACAATAAAATAAGGTTTTAAACCCTAGGGGGTGTAGACCATAACTAATATATCAAACAACCAAGAAACTTAAAGTACTTCAAAACAGTGAACAGTTTCATCAAGTTCAAAAGTAAAATAGAAGCCAAAACATGAGTGATGAGGCCAAACAAAGTTTCTCCTTTCACGAAAAGTACCACAACAAAAACATTGAAATAAACATTAATTATAGCATAGAATAACATGTAAGACAATATAATAACTCCAGAGATGATGTCTTGACAATAAAATGTCGCAACAGAAATAATCGGAAAAAAATACTAGAAAACTGCTCATACACTGACCACTGGATGAGGAACCAGAGTCACTGCAGGAACTGCTTGAGGTGCTACACTTGCTACTTCTCGGTGCAGTATCTTTTTGTATCTCCACAGGAGGATAGCTCGAAATTGGAAGATCATCCCCACCAATATCAACATCCTCATCAGCAGGCTCACTAACTGAATGAAGGGGACCAAATATAATAAGAAACAATCAAAGTAGCAATTATAGTGAAGTGCATTGAACAAAATTGCATGCATCTCTAATCAAATGTGAAAAAAGGACCTTGGTAGGGATGTATTGATGAATTACTGACTCCAGGTTCAGCCAAAATCTGCACAAGAAAATATAGTTACAAACAGATCCGGACATCCTGATGCCCCCAAACGTCACTGAAAAAGAGAAGAGCTAACCTCCATTTCGCAAGGTTCTGCTTTCTCCTGTGGTACTGTTTGTTTTGCACCAAAATATTCGTCCACAAGCTTCCTCAACTTAAATAGGGTATCATCACTGAGACTCTCGATATCTATCTCTATCTCGTCATCCTCAGTGGTCTTTGCATTGTAAGTTTGCTGCTTTAAGAAGTTAACGATATGCTCGGGCAGATCCTCTTCTGCAGATTCTAACCGGTTTTTAAGTTCCTGCTTCTCACTAAATGGCATCATTGGCTTTAAATTTTTTGATATGGGAGCTTCAAAATCTAGTGGAGGAGGTTTTCTCTTTTTTGGCAGGGATTGTGATTCTGACTTCGTAGCTTGTTTATCTCTTTTAATAATTTCTTCAACTGAGGCCAGTTTTTCTCCTATAGGCCTCCATTTCTTTTCAAATATATTTTTCAGGGCATCCGCCATAATGTGTACATCATTCCCAGGGGGGTTATAGGTCATGGCATTGGTGAAAGTAAGCCTCACATCTGAAGCAAAAGCCCAGAGGCTAGAATAGGAACCAGATGTTAACTTCTTCTTAACACTTCCAAGATCCATTGGATGCTTTATAATGTTGAAATAGTCAGGAATTTTCAGCTTCACAACATCAACAGGAGTGTTGAAGACCCAACCGTACCTGTGGGTCATCAAATTTTTAAGGAGGGTCTCACACTGTTTCATTAACATAGAGACAAAGTTGCCAGGAAGGGACGGAGCCTGTCTTTTAATCTCAACCCTACCTGACATTCCCCGACTCAAACCCTGTTTCTTGGCATACCCATCACCGGACGACGATAAGGCAACACCACTAGAAACTGCTGAGGTTCTAGAAAGTATTTTCTTGTGAAGTATCCGAACCTTCTCGAGTTCGCCTCTCAGCCTCATCAATAGGTCCTTCTTCTCTGTATCAGACATGTTTGATGCAGAAATAACTTGAACAGGGACATTGAAACTGTTTCTTTGATCCACATTTATGCTCATGGACTTTCTCTTTGGGGTACATGAAACCTCGGAGTCTACACGACAGGAGTTAGCAAAGCCTTCTGTCTCCCCAACTGTTTCAGCAGCATGTCTGTAGTCTGGAATGAAGCCAGAAGAGTAACCTTTTGAGAATTTCTGGGTTTTCCCCATAATTGCAGATGAGCAATCGCTGTGGGTTTTTTTCAACTTTTTCCCGTTGGAGCACTCCAGAATTACTGTTTGTGTCATAGGGGCAAAAATGAAAGGACTCTGCAATTAAGTAATAAAGATATTTTCACTACCTCCACAACATTAAACACTACTTATACTGAAAGCCTAGAAAATCTGAGAAAAAAATATAATTAATATCAAGTAAAATGTAGAATTAGCATAAACAATATCCCCGTCAACCCATTCTTCCATATATCATGCTATTATCCAAGGATTTGGCTATTGCGCTACTAAAAAATATGAAGTGATGAAACATATTACTACAAATCATGAATCTGCAGCAAAACTTCTATTTTACGATAACAAGAATAACCACCAATTTCTTTCATCAATCCTCTAACAAATAAAATATCTGTCATCAGATCCTTTATCGACTGTTTATAACTCTAGATAGTATCAAAATTACATTTTGCAGCGTACATCAGAAAATATACAGAAAAAATTCTTGATTACTACTTCAAAATTTTCATAATATAAAAATTTAATCAATAACGTGCATTCTCATTACTTCTTGCCTTATGAATAAACCCAATCACCTTTTCTCCACAAATTACTTCAAGATTTGTACTTCTTTTAGAAAACACCAAGAAAAACCCTAAATCCCACTCAAAATTCCCCTTCCCCAACAAACGCCCTCACGGCACCAACTGCAACTACAAGCACCACTCCTCGATCGATCCAATCAAAACCCTAACCCTTTTCCAATAAAAAAAACTCACAATGCCAACTCAAACAGAGCCCATTATCGCATGATCAAAGAAAATTGAGGGGAAAACAAGCTAGCCCTCAACTATTCATCAAATAAACCCTAGATCTCTCCTAAAACCAGAAGCCAAAACCCTAAATTTTCAAAAAAGAATAAAAAAAGAAAAACCTAAATCGCTTACCTCTTTCTTCTCGTTCGATGGGCCTGAGAGATATAGAAGGCGAGGAGAAGAGAGAGAACTCCAGAGGCTCGAAAACTGCGGTCGTGGGTTATTGGGCCTTACTTATAGAAGCTGGGCTTCAAGGGATCGGGATGATCCTGGCCGTTGATTTTAGGGAGGATTTGGGGGCTGGATTAATCGGACGGATGAGGATTGTCTCACGCTGTCCTCGCTCGTGTCCTCTTCGGCAACTGAGGATTTAGCGTGTGAATCTCGTGGATCTGTCATAGGATGCACGTGCCTGAATTCGATGGCATGAGGCATAATTTTGGAGGGCGGTTATATTGCTCATATAGATTCTTACACCACCAAAACAGGCTAAATTGAGCTTAAAATGCGCTAAAGTTTCACTAATCTTGCATTTATCTCCATTTTAAAGTCAAGCAAAAAATGCCTTAAAGTGTGTAGCTATCGCAAATGAATGCCTCATACTTAAAAATTTTCAAATGGTGTTATTTTTTATTTACATATCCAAAATATCACATAATAGAGGTAGTAAACTAAAACTTTTAGGAACTTTAGAGTATTTAAGTGAGTTATTTACAAATATAGTGTATTTATATGCGATATTAGATAAACAAGAGGGCACCAACAAAACATTAGATAAACAAGAGAGCATCAAGATGTAATATTTTGAAACTTTGGGATGTAATATTTTGAAACTTTGGGATATTTACCTGTAACGTTTATACCTGGGAGCATTTAAGTGCACGGTTTTAAAATAACAGGCATTATAATGTTGATGAAATTATAGGGCATTTAAGCGCATTTAAACCAGACAATTAGAATATGAATATGTTTTGAATCTGAATTTTTGAACTTCAAATTTTATCGAATTTACATGAGAACATGAATATTTTTTTGAATGTTTATCCAATGTTAAGATGTATCTATTTGAATTGTTATTTCTATAGTTCGCGAATACACAATTATTTGATTAAAATGATACCTTCATCATCCAATAAAGAATTATAATATTTGAACCTATAACTAAAATTATTCCTCCTTTCTATATAAAGAGAAATTACTTGAGTAAAAAGATACTTTCATTTAATAAAGAATTATAATATTTAAACTTGTAGCTAAATTATCCATCTTTTATTGTTATGGTATTCTCATTCGCCAAAATACAACTCCTCACCAAAACAACCGGCGAGTGTATTTCCGCAAGCAAAGCCCCAACCAGCTTGGTGGCCTAAGCCCAGCAGAGATTCCAACTTGCTGACTCGTCAAGTCGACACTCTTCATGGCGACTCAAGACGCGAGATCAGTTGACCCTCTTGTCGAAGTCGACTCGCCTAGAGCTCACTCGACCTTTTTATTCAATGCCTTACAAGGACGACTCGATGGGCCTTACTTCTCGGCCAAACTGGAGGATAATATCTACCTCGGGCTTTTTCCTTTGGCTACGTGTCAGCACCGCGGCCAGCACTGGACCGGTCCCATCATGACCCTAGCTCCGATAGTCTTCATGACTTGTCATATCACATGGGCTCTGTCATGCCGTCGATCACTCTCCATTCGATGTTGAGATGATCTCTCCAATGCTGAAGTGATCCTTCCCCTAATCGCCTGCCGACACCTGTAAAGTGAATGCCGATGCAGCCACCAACCCATACACCATCAACACCTCATTTAATGCTGAGGAGATCCTTCCCCCTGTCGTCTGTCGACACCTGTAAAGTAAATGCTGCTATAGCCACCAGCCCATACCTCGCCATCACTTCTCCACGCCCGCCCAAAGTGTTTGATCTACCCTTCTCCTATTATATATATGTTGGACCCTAGAGGGGGGGTGATTAGGATCTCAAGGCTAAAAAAGTACAATAAAAATTAAGACAAGCAACAAACCACAAAATAAACAACAGTAGAAATAGAGATAGAGTTAGGAATCATTATCCTTGTGACGCGCGATGTGTTAACGAGGTTCTAGAGTTAGGAATCATTATCCTTGTGACGCGCGATGTGTTAACGAGGTTCGGTCCGCTGACCTACGTCCTCGCTCCCCACTCTCGAGGAGAGACGCGCGATGTGTTAACGAGGTTCGGTCCGCTGACCTACGTCCTCGCTCCCCACTCTCGAGGAGAAATCTACTACACAACCCGGTTTGGAAGCCGGAACTTCTTCTACACAACGTTCTCCTCACAATCTCACAACTACACAGTTGATCCCCACTGGATCACACTCCCACACAATTGATCTTCACAAGATCAATTTCTCAACAGTAGCAATGGTGTAAAAGCTCTCTCTTTACAAGTCTCTATGGCAAAGAGAAAGATTAAACTGAAGCTGGGATGTGAACTTGAGAAAAACACAGAAAACAGGTTTTGAAAATTTTGGCTCTCAGAAACTCTGGTTTTTCAAAAGCTTGGAACCATGAGGAAGAAGGAGTGTATGAGTTTAAATAGGAGAAACCAGCTGTTTAAACCCATACCCTAATCCCCCAAATCTAGGAAAATAATTGGCGCTGAGATTGTGTACAATAGGCGCTGAAACAGTACAAAAGACCGTTTGAAAAATGAGCGGCGGTCGACCGTACGATTTCTCGCGGTCGACCGCGAGGCAGTGCAGAAACTGAGAAGAAGTCTAGAGACTTCTACGATCGACCGCGGCGGTCGACCGTGGGAAATCTCGAGCTCATGATCGATCGCGGCGATCGACCGTGAAAGTCTCTGCTGCCCACTGACGAATGATCTCAGGCGCGGTCGACCGTGGCGGTCGATCGCAAACTGATACATTCAAAATACTGATTTTTGACTCACTTTAAATAATCTGTAAAATATTCATTTGACTTCTAAAAATTGTGAAACTTTGTAAAATATTTTTAACACTAAAAACAAATTGTTTGGAAAAGGAATTTTGCTAATAGGTCCTCATACTTGTGAAAAATAGTATTTTGTGAAAAACACTCAAAACTATATGTATAAAAACGTGTGTGTGATATCCCAATAGCTTCAGATGAAATCTAAACTATTTGCCTACATTTTAGCACTAGAGAGAAAATAAAAAACTAGCTAATATCCTTACGTAGAATATAATTCTTTGAGTCTTGATATAGCTTGAGTTGGATGAAGCTTCTTATTGTATTTGGTGTTCTTGAATGAACGTTGCTTCATCACTATGCCTCCTCCTTCTTTGGATATCATCGTTGTAGCGCATATTCCATCCAATCCTCCATTTATGGCACTAACAAGCTTGATATATGTATTCACTACATTTTTACTCAACAAGCCATTAGTACCGATAATGGTGGTTGTAAAACATCATCAAAATATAAGGGCTAACAATCTCCCCCTTTTTGATGATGACAACCAACCATTATATAAGAGCAAAATAAATATAGCTTATAGATAGAAGCTCCCCCTATCTATGAGCTTTCCCTTACTATGTGCACAAATGAGAAGATTTCTCTCCCCCTTTGTTACCATCAAAATGGGGTAAAAAAATAGACAAAAATACATCTGAAATGCAACTAAACAAGCAAGCAAATAGAACTTTCACATAGTATATAAGCCCAAACCATTTCTTATGCGACAAAAATCATCTTCACTAAGAGGCTTGGTAAATATATCCGCTAATTAAGATTTTGTGTCAACAAACACAAGGGATACATCTTGTCTCTCTACATGATCGCGTAAGAAATAATGGCGCATATCAATATGCTTGGTTCTAGAATACAAAACCGAATTTTTTAAAATATTGATAGCACTAGTGTTATCACAAAAGATTTTTATATTTTAAAAATTCAAATCATAGTCAACTAAGCTTTGTTTCATCCACAAAACTTGGGCATAACATAAGCCGGCGGCAATATATTCCGTTTCCGTAGTAGACAATGCAACACAATTTTGTTTCTTGGAAGCCCAAGAAACAAGAGAATTTCCCAAGAATTGGCATGTTCCACTCGTACGCTTGCGATCTACCTTACATCCGGTAAAATCGGCATCACAAAAACCATATAAATCAAAAGAGATGCTCTTTGGATAAAATAAACCAAGATTAATAGTTCCATGCACATATTTAATAATTCTCTTAACTGCAATCAAATGAGTTGCTTTAGGAGAAGCTTGAAAACATACACATGCACACACACTAAACATGATATCGGGTCTACTAACGATGAGATAAAAAAGACTACCTATCATACCTCGATATAGTTTTTGGTCCACATCTTCACCACTATCATCCGCATCAAGCTTGACACTTGTACTCATGGGAGTTGGTGCATGTTTAGAATTCTCCAAATTGAATTTCTTCACCAATTCTCTAGCATACTTGCTTTAAGAAATGAATATCTCATCCTTAGTTTGCTTGACTTGGAGCCCGAGAAAGAATGTGAGCTCTCCCATCATGCTCATCTCAAAATAATCTTGCATAACTTTAGAAAAATCCTTGCAAAGAGATTCATTAGTCGCACCGAAAATGATATCATCAACATATATTTGCACTAAAATAAAATCATTTTTTATTTTTCTTACAAAAAGAGTATTATCTATTTTTCCTTTAGAGAAACCATTTTCAAGAAGAAAACTAGAGAGGCGAGCATACCAAGCTCTAGGAGCTTGTTTCAACCCATATAAAGCTTTTTGAACCCGGTAAACATGATAGGAAAAACATGATCTATAAAATCGGGGGGTTGCTCAACATATATCTCCTCTTCTATAAAACCATTTAAAAAAGCACTTTTAACATCCATTTGAAACAATTTGAAATCTTTAAAGCTAGCAAATACCAAAAACATCCTAATAGATTCCAACCTTACAACCAGTGCAAAGGTTTCGTCATAGTCTATGCCCTCCTCTTGATTGTATCCTTGGGCAACCAAACGAGCTTTATTTCTAGTAACAATGTCATATTCATCAAGTTTGTTTCTAAAAACCCATTTTGTTCCAATTACACTAGCATTGTTAGGTATAGGAACTAGTTTCCAAACATCATTTCTTTTAAAATTGTTTAGTTCATCATGCATAGCTAAAACCCAAAATTCATCATTTAAAGCATCATTAACCTTCTTGGGTTCTAATTG